TTCTTGGTTACATCTAAATCAAGGATTGTGTCAACAACCTTCACCCTGTAACGCTTCCCTGGTACTTTATCAAGAGCCTACAAAAAATTGGATACTAAATGAATTCTGATAGACACAATATAAAACAAGATGTGCTGTGAGTCATTGCTCACTAGTGATATCCCTGCTTTTTGATAGGTAGCCATCAAACTTTCACATTGATTTGTGATAGCCTTTTTGATTTATTTTGTGAAAACTGTTTGTGACGGACAGACGGAAAGCTGATTACTATAGGGCTCCTATGTCTGAATAAAAAGATAAGATATCAAATAAAGTTAATGAAATATCTTATATCTAATTTATGAGATATCTTATAAAATAAATAAGATATCTTATAAACTAAACAAGAGGATGCTCCGGGGTCCCCCACTGGTGCTAAAATATAATATTTCCATAAAGCACTTGTGACCTTGACCTTTGAATGACTAGAAACATCAAAATCAATAGGGATCTTCCTTACCTAATATCATTCAACTGTGTAAGTTTGAAGAAATAATATGAAGGTGTTCAAAAGTAACAGTCCAGAAACCGATTGTCAGCTGAAAATTCAACATCATTAAGTATCTGTGACCTCGACCTTTGACCTATAAACATCAAAATCAATAGGGATCTTCCTTACCTAATAAACATTCAACTGTGTAAGTTTGAAAAAATTATATGAAGGTGTTCAAAAGTTACAGTCCAGAAACTGATTTTGGACGGACGGTTGCACGGACACCGGTATTTCTATGTCCCCTCCGGTGGGGGACAATAAGAGATCTTATAACATTGTTTTATAAGATATCTTAGAAATTATATCAGATGTCCTATAACATTCATTCTAATGCAACATTTGTTGTAACGTACGTATGTCAAATTTCATTGGATAAAGTCGTAATTTTCAGGGTATATATCAATCTGAAGATTTGGAGCCATCAATCTATGATTTGATGGTCGCAAATATCCGTTTACTGGCTCCGCTAACGTGTCACTAGTAAACTCAATTTGCGACCATCAAATCCATGATTGATGGCTCCAAATCTGCAAATTCAATACAGTTAGCTCCTAATTTTATATCTTGAAAATCTTATATCTTCTAAAGTTTATGAGATATCTTTATAAACTTCTTTATAAGATATCTCATGAAAGATATAAAATATATTATCATATACTTAGACTAAATAACATATGATTTTTATACGACCGCAAAAATTGAAAATTTTTTGGTCGTATATTGGTATGACGTTGGCGTCGTCGTTGTCGTCGTTGTCGTCGTCGTCGTCGTCGTCGTCGTCGTCTGGCGTCGTCCGGCGTCGTCCGAAGACACATTGGTTTTCGCACTCTAACTTTAGTTTAAGTGAATGGATCTCCATGAAATTTTACCATAAGGTTCAATACCACGAAAGGAAGGTGGGGATTGATTTTGGGGGTTATGGTACCAACAGTTAAGGAATTAGGTCCCAAAAAGGGGCCAAAAATAAGCATTTTTGTAACTTCCAGACAATAACTTGTGTGTAAGTGTATGGATCTCTCTGACATTGTACCACAAGGTTCCATATCACAAAGGGAAGGCTGTAATTGATTTTGGGGGTAATTGCCTCAAAATTTTAGGAATTAGGGGCCAAAAAAGGGGCAAAAAACAAGCATTTTTCTAGTTTCATGACAATAACTTGTGTGTAAGTGTTTGGATATTTCTGAAATTGTACTACAAGGTTCCATATCACAAAGGGAAAGCTGGAATTGAGTTTGGGGGTAATTGCCTGAAACGTTTAGGAATTGGGGGCCAAAAAGGGGCCAAAAATAAGCATTTTTCTAGTTTCCAGACAATAACTTGTGTTCAAGTGTATGGATCTCTCTGAAATTGTACTGCAAGGTACCATACCACAAAGGGAAGGCTGGGATTGAGTTTGGGGGTGATGAATCATAAGGGGGTTCAAAAAATTTGGGGGGGGGGGGGGGGGGTTTTTTCTTTTTTTTTCTTTTTTTCCTTTTTTTTTTCTTTTAAAATTTTCCATTTTAAGTTGATTATTTCTGATTAATATTTAAAAGCAAATAATAATGATATGGTAGGAGATACACACCAAACAGGATGTGTAAATTATTATATAATAAGTATTGTGCAATAGCAAGAAATTTTCAATTGCACAGTATTGCACAATTGCAAGAAATCTTCAATTGCACAGTATTGCGCAATAGCAAGAAATATTCAATTGCACAGTATTGCGCAATAGCAAGAAATATCCAATAGCACAATATTGCGCAATAGCAAGAAATTGTCAATTGTACAGTATTGCACAATAGCAAGAAATATTCAATTGCACAGTATTGTGCAAAAGAAGATACTTCGTATAAATTGCTTATTTCTTGATCAATTTCAATGGGGTTTTATTCTTGAATTCTTGGGGTTCTTTAATATGCTGAATCTAACCGTGTATTAAGTTTTTGGATTTTGGGCCCCGTTTTTAAATTGGTCCACATTGAGGTCTAAAGGGTCCAAAATTTAACTTTGTTTGATTTCATCAAAAATTGAATTATTGGGGTTCTTTGATATGCCGAATCTAACCGTGTATTTAGATTCTTAATTTTTGGTTCCGTTTTCAAATTGGTCTACATTAAGGTCAAAAGGGTCCAAAATTAAACTTAGTTTGATTTTAACAAAAATTGAATTTTTAGGGTACTTTGATATGCTGCATCTAAACATGTATTTAGATTTTTGATTATGGGCCCAGTTTTCAAGTTGGTCCAAATCGGGGTCCAAAATTAAACTTTGTTTGATTTCAACAAAAATTGAATATATGGGGTTCTTTGATATGCTGAATCTAACCATGTATTTAGATTTTTGATTTTTGGGCCCCGTTATCAACTTTGTCCACATTGAGGTCAAAAGGGTCCAAAATTAAACTTTGTTTGATTTCATCAAAAATTGAATTCTTGGGGTTCTTTGATATGCTGAATCTAACCATGTATTTAGATTTTTTATTTGTGGACCCGCTATCAAATTGGTTCATATTGAGGTCAAAAGGGTCCAAAATTAAACTTTGTTTGATTTCATCAAAAATTGAATTATTGGGGTTCTTTGATATGCCAAGTCTAACCGTGTATTTAGATTTTTAATTTTGGGTCCCGTTTTTAAATTGGTCTACATTAAGGTCCAAAGGGCCCAAAATTAAACTTAGTTTGATTTTAACAAAAATTGAATTCTTGGGGTTCTTTGATATGCTGAATCTAAACATGTGTTTAGATTTTTGATTATGGGCCCAGTTTTCAAGTTGGTCCAAGTTGGGGTCCAAAATTAAACTTTGTTTGATTTCAACAAAAATTGAATATATGGGGTTCTTTGATATGCTGAATCTAAACATGTATTTAGATTTTAGATTTTTGGCCCAGTTTTCAAGTTGGTCTACATTGGGGTCCAAAATTAAACTTTGTTTGATTTCAACAAAAATTGAATATATGGGGTTCTTTGATATGCTGAATCTTACCATGTATTTAGATTTTTTATTTGTGGGCCCGCTATCAAATTGGTTCATATTGAGGTCAAAAGGGTCCAAAATTAAACTTTGTTTGATTTCATCAAAAATTTAATTATTGTGGTTCTTTGATATGCCAAATCTAACCGTGTATTTAGATTTTTAATTTTGGGTCCCGTTTTTTAAATTGGTCTACATTAAGGTCCAAAGGGTCCAAAATTAAACTTAGTTTGATTTTAACAAAAATTGAATTTTTGGGGTTCTTTGATATGCTGAATCTAAACATGTGTCTAGATTTTTGATTATGGGACCAGTTTTCAAGTTGGTCCAAGTTGGGGTCCAAAATTAAACTTTGTTTGATTTCAACAAAAATTGAATATATGGGGTTCTTTGATATGCTGAATCTTACCATGTACTTAGATTTTTTATTTTGTGGGCCTGCTATCAAATTGGTTCATATTGAGGTCAAAAGGGTCCAAAATTATACTTTGTTTGATTTTATCAAAAATTGAATTATTGGGGTTCTTTGATATGCCAAATCTAACCGTGTTTTTAGATTTTTAATTTTGGGTCCCGTTTTTTAAATTGGTCTACATTAAGGTCCAAAGGGTCCAAAATTAAACTTAGTTTGATTTTAACAAAAATTGAATTCTTAGGGTACTTTGATATGCTGAATCTAAACATGTGTTTAGATTTTTGATTATGGGACCAGTTTTCAAGTTTGTCCAAGTTGGGGTCCAAAATTAAACTTTGTTTGATTTCAACAAAAATTGAATATATGGGGTTCTTTGATATGCTGAATCTAACCATGTATTTTGATTTTGGACATTGGACCATAATAGGTAAATTAAAAAAATTGAAGTTCTTAGACCACATTCTTTCTGTGTCAGAAACCTATGCTGTGTCAAATATTTAATCACAATCCAAATTCGGAGCTGTATCAAGCTTGAATGTTGTGTCCATACTTGCCCCAACTGTTCAGGGTTCGACCTCTGCGGTCGTATCAAGCTGCGCCCAGCGAAGCATTTTATTACCATATGATAATAGCATTACATTTACGTATATTCCATATTCCATAGCTTTGCTCTCACCCCATATGGAATTTACTGACCCCATATATACCGTATTAGGTCACTAGCACACTATATAACATATAATATTTCACTCTTTGAACTGCTATTTAAGAACCACGTAAAAAGATCAATATATTAATCTGTTATTTTTCTCCATTGTTGTTAGCATATGATAAAAAGATCATAGCATGTCATTTTTCATATCACATGTATTATCAGCCCTCGGCCAATATCAGCCCTCAAGCCATGCGGCTCTTGGGCTGATATTAAACCTAGGGCTGATAATACATGCGATATGAAAAATGCCATGTAATAATCTGATATTATACAAGATATCTTAAATACTTTTACAAGATATCTTATAAGGTCAAATTTATGAGACATCTTATAAAGTGTATGCAATGATACTATTTTATATACAGTTATACCTACCCTCTTTCTTTAAGGAGGTAGTATTTCAGCTTCTGCAATCTTGTTCTTTGTATTTGTCTCAATAGTGTTCTCCTAAATTAAAAGAAAAGAAAAACTTTTTAAGAATATTTTAAACAAGGTACTAATTGAAATTGGAACAATAATGAATTCTGGAATACACATGACAATATTGAAGCAAAAACCAACCTATCTAAGAGGGTTTAGTAATATATGAATGGGTTAGGGTTCAGTTGAGGTATGTTTTATACACAAATGATTTAGAAATTTACCCTTAATTTACCCTCAATTATGCATGCATGAATGCATAGTTTAACCCCTATTGGCCCTAAGTGTACATGTAAATTAGATCAATTAAAACCTTGGTTTTTATTTTAATAGATTTTTTACTAATGCTTAATAATGAAACTAGTTTACCAAATAAAATGTGCAAAAGCTTAGTGAATATGAAGACAAAATTGGAACTTTAAAGTTTAATGTTATTTCTGAATTGAAAGATCTTCTTATTCTTGTCATAGTAAAACTGAGTACATATGCAGTTTGACATGTAGTTACAATATGGATCCCATACATACATGACATAACAATAAACTCACTATTGACTATTGAGTATACATGTGTACAGGGAATCATATTTATACATGTACATGTATATGAAAAGACATACCTCCTCAACATGCTCAATACTGTTATTTCCAAATAGTTTTTCTCTACACAGTCTACAAATTGCTGTAATATAAAAGAAAATACATACACAATTGATCTCATTCTGTGTATCACTATCAAAACTATTTAGGCCAAACAAAAAAAATATGTGTGTTTACTGTCACTTGCTGAAAAAAAAGGGTAGGTAGGTAGGGATTTTTGTTTTTGTTTACATTGAGTCTATGCATATGGGAGCAACATTGTGACTTTAACAGTAATAATAGTCAAAAAAACTTTAGGGTAGGGGACAAAAATTAGGGTAAGTAGGGGTACAGTAAACCCACATACTTTTTTGTTGGGTCATATACTGAAATTAGGGTAGGTAGGTGTACAGTAAACCCACATACTTTTTTGTTTGGTTATATACATGTACATGTATGTACATAAAAACATGAATTTTAAAACATACATGTATCTCAAGTAAACATGAATAAAAGAAGGCTGGCCGCGCCCTTATCGGAATATAAGCCTTCTGGCGCATACATGTGGTTGTGACAACATTAGGGCTATGTTGCGGCTTCATTGCTCCAACATGTTGTGGCTATGATGCTGCATTAGCGTATTTCATATGCAAATTAGTTTTCTGGCACTGGTGCCAGAAAATGCTGTGGCTTCGTTGCCGCAACATGTTGTGGCTTCAATGCAGATATTGTTTTTTTATTTTGTATGCAAATTAGTTTTCTGGCACTATTGCGCCACTAATGCCTTTAAATTCTGGCTTCCTTTAATTATTGACTAAAAAGGTAAAGTAACATCTGACCAAGCAAGTTTAGTGCTAAGTATAACCGAGAAAAAGTTTTAACTCCTTTATTTAACGTTATGATTTTTTGTGTGCTCAGGGTAATTATTATAACTTTTATTTTTAAAGAAAGTAAAGTTCTGTCCTCAGAAGTTATTCCTATATGTAATGTACTTAATTTTCCCACATTGAGGAAAAGGAAAGTTAAAATGTGTAACTCATGAACTGTCAACATGCAACATCTATACCTTCAATAACACCAACATAATTTCCATGATCCCAACAGGAGCCCCTTCACTTCAGTCAAAGGTGTTGTGTTTTGTCTGATAAGCAATCTAAATTCGTGTTTATACTACATTTTTTTCCAAACAAATAGCACTTTCAAGCCGTCTTTAGAGGGTTACAAAGACATAATTGACCAAACTTCTTTCAGCATGCTCTGTAAAATTTTAGCAAGGGTTAAATTGAGAAAGGGAAGAGAAACCATGAATTATGTTTCAGAAGGTACCAATTCGCCCCATTAGATGATAGTTCGTCCCTGTTACTTATTTTTTGAAAATCCTCTCCAGGTCTATCAGGAAGAAGACAATTTCCTTGATTTAATTAAATGAGAGAATGAACTTTTATATAATGCATTTAATTAATCATGTTAATCTAAGTTTACATACAAGTCTTCACAATAACAGAACACCCAATTCTTCACTAAAATCATAAGCTCAAGCAACATATGGTCCACTTCTATCACAACACCATGACCACAGTAAAAAGCTCAAACACTGGTGACATCATCAATGACATTATCAATGTTCTGGCTCTATTCTGGCATCATTTTAGTAGATTAAGAATGAGAAAATTATATGTGTGCTTTATGGCAACATTGTGGCGCTTTTTGTCATGAAAGGAAATAGCGCTGCAATGTAGCCAGAATGATGTTAGCGGCATCATTCAGCACTTGTCAATTTTCTGGCAACCTGATCAACAGCCGCAACATTGCAGCAATGTTGCTGCAACATTTTTTATTTCATAAGGACCGATATGAAATGATGTGATTATCATGTACAAAACCTTACAAATCTGGTAAAGGAAAGGAAACGTGAAACAACATTCATGTTATAATTTTTGTCTCTCAAAAACAAGATTCAAAGAACTTCACATAATTTTATGTTTTATAGTTTAAAAAAGGGGTATGAAAGAAGTTCATATGGCTGTCACATGATACAAACAATAAGCTTAAGGTTCATAGCCAAATGGTAGATAATATTAACCCTAAGGTTTTTTTGTTTGTTTTTTTTTTTTTGGTGGGGGGGGGGGGGGGGGGGGTGTACCTGACAGCTGCATTTGATTGCTTTTTTATAAGAGGTTTATCACTCTATCTTTTTTAAAGAAAAATGGTATTAGGTAAATAGTATCTACTTACATGAATGAAAATGCCTGTCTTTGAAACATCTCGGGTGTAACATGTCGATCCACTGCTTTTGTAGTATTATGATATTTCAAAATGACATTTACTGAAGGCACACCACAATTTTTCCTTCTATATCTCTTGTTAGTTGTTTCGATGATAATATTTCTATGAATATCACAGATCCTCAGTTGTGACGTACAATGTAATGTCAGATTTAAGTAAAGAAATTTCTGAAAAAAATTTATGCATGTCTCTTTTTCCAATGGAAACATTTTCAAAAATACCTGTCGTCACTGCAGTAGTCACAATTGCCTACGAAATCTTTTATGCTACACATTTTATAACAATTATTCGAAGATTATATAAATAAATACATTAAAAAAGTTGGTTACGGTAAGCAAAATAAACTATAAAATACACTGTCTTAGTACAGACACAGTTCCATTGTTCTGACAATATTTTCAAAATATGAGCAAATCACACCAACTTAACCATATATATAAGTGTAGGCTAACATCACTGTGAAAAATGTATCCATTTCCCATTATGCTTAAATATAAAACATGAAGAAATTCGCCAAATTACATTGTTGTCTGCATTTGTTTACATTTTCCCTCCTGTTTTTAATTTGTTTCTCTACAAGAGAACTCCGTAAAGGGAGGTGATTTGATTAGGTAAATACAGGACAACTCAACTTTTCAGGGTCAATTAATTTCAACACAGTCAAGTTTGCCCACTTATTTTTTTTCTTTTTTTGTATAACCTTAATCCATTCTCTCTATTCATATAATCAACAATATAAGAAATGGCTGCATTTTTTTACAACACCTGATCAAAATAGGCTTTAAAACCCCCCTTTTATTGCACTTTTTACCCTATTTTAGCTATATAGATTTTTTTTTAAGAAAGTTTACCATTGAACACAATTTTTATTTGTTTTTTTTAAACTGAAAAAAGTTTTAAATGTCTGAATATCTATATTATTTTCTTTTTATTAGACATAATTGATCATAATTTGTAAACACTGCATTTTTACTCTTTCTTGCCTCTTTAAGTCCTGTTACCAAGGAAACGGTAAACATATGGGGCTAAGTGTAATAATATTTTTTGTTAAGCTCATGTGGCTCTATTGAACTAATAAAGTTTAAAACAAATATTTTTTAGTGCGTGCCGAATTATTTTGGTGATTACAGAGAATTGCTCTTAAGTTCTTAGACCACATTCATTCTGTGTCAGAAACCTATGCTGTGTCAAATATTTAATCACAATCCAAATTCAGAGCTGTATCAAGCTTGAATGTTATGTCCATACTTGCCCCAACTGTTCAGGGTTCGACCTATGCGGTCGTATCAAGCTGCGCCCTGCGGAGCATTTTATTCTCTTTTATTACTACACTATACAAGGTTAAAACAAAAATACAAAATTGCATAACGAATGCAAAGTATTCCACTTTTTGTCATAACTTTGTAACCACTGAAGATTTTTCGTTGCAACAACCAGCAAAAGGAAGATGAATAAATTGTCTATAACAGTGAACCAATAATGTAGTTCAAGTTAGGTTCACTTATTAACTATCAATGGATAAAAACAGTGTATTTTTAAATGAAACAACATAACGTGAAATTTTGCCCATTTTAGCATGTATTTTAGTGGGTTTTTTTCAAAATGGTTACACAAATAATATATACATTATATTTGATATGCATTGTGAAGCCCTATATTCTTTCCTTCAGTTCAAAGATGTAATACTTAAATTAAGTTCACCTTCTTGTCTATAGAAGCCTATAACATAGACCTAATATGAAATGTACATCTGATTGTGGCTAGGCCGATGGTGTTTATTTCCCATAGACAGATTAATAAAGTGTTATTTGGCCTGTCTCGCTGAGCTCTACGGTTACCTCAGGGGTTAATGCAAGCTATGCTTAGTGTGAGAGTGCCCTTACCTTCCTACTAGGTGTCAGTCCCTGCTAACCCCGTCAGGTCCTAGATCTCAGGCGCCTTGCCTTGCTCGTTCCGTGGTAAGAGAGAGATGCACTCGAAGTAGAGGCTGGAAGTACCCAACTGTTACCCTTGTGTCATGTGTCCCTTCGGATCCCTCGGTGCTGTACCAGTATCCTTACACAGGCTGGGGAAACCCCCTTGTACTAAGGGCAATTACACTACACCCCCCCTCCATCTTAAAAAGGAGGAACTACAGTTCAGACAAAAACGACTGTATGATCTTACTCGAACACCCCAGGGAAAGACTGGCAGCGTCTTTTACTAACTCAACCATGACACAGGGTATCTAAAATATCCACCCCCCTAAATCCTGGATAAGGGGACAATTGAACAAACTTAATCTTTCCCTAAGAAAAAAAAAATTATTACCCCTGTAAACTTAAACATACAAATGAAAATTCAGGACTGAACAGCTATCTAGCTATAGAGTATCCAAACTCCCAACAATTTACACACCAGAGTTGCCACAGGGTGCTAACCTAAACAGGTTCTTCAGGACAAATAACAGCCAAACTCCATGTCGACCATAGCCATATCAAGTCCTGGAAACAAGTCTCACTACAAGACAATAAACTGCGTGCTCAACACGTCTCAAATCCCTGACTCTTGTGTAATGTTCACATGCATGTACATGTATCAACTGTTCAGACCTGAACTGACGGAAACATGATACTTCACAATATAAATGTACAATATAAAACAATCTCAATGTCCAAATGACAAGTTCATTGATACCGCCCTGAATTTCCAAATGAAATAACTAATATGTATACCCTTATACATAATTTACAACCGACTAAATACTATATGTCTGTAATCCCATAACTGGGAAGGATGTACATGACCATAAATAATTTGACTCTTGTCAAAAATCCCACCTATATAGTGCCTCTATATAAGGGTACATTTAACTATTTTACTTCTGTAATAGTTAGTATAACTACAATTTATATAATATACACTGGTCATGACACCGTTCTTAATATCCGTTGCAACTATTTAACATATTTGTACACTTTACATGTGAGAGTGTGAAGCAAACAATTAATAAAACAGTGATATTGTTTGCCTCAAATTACAGCCGAAATTCGGCTTTTTCCCCTAGAGAAAATTCCCAATTACTAAAAAAAATGGCTTAAAATTTCTCCCAAAAAGTTTTACATTTTCCCCAAACAGTGATGGCATTGGTAGTAATGTTTGTAAATATTGTATTCATGTTATTATTTTGATATTAGAAAGCACTTTTGAGATCCGGTTTTCTGATCAGAATCATCATGGTGTTTGTAACACATGTGGTTTTCAATGCATTAAGTACCATCATTGCTTCTGTTTCTTTCCCCTCTCCGAAAAGTACCTTTCAGGTTGAAGGCCACAGACCACAATTAAATTCTCTATTAGTTCTTTATAACGTTTTGTTTCATTAAAAAAAATGCACCAGTTCTTTTTGTCAAATATTTTGTGTGTTTAAAGTACAGTACTAGTCCAAACATATATCAAACATTCAGAAATATCGCTCCCCAGCATCTTACAAATTTAGCTAATACACATCCATACCCCTATGGACAAGTCAAGAGATGTTCCGAAAACTGTAAATATCACCTTTTTGCACCTGGCCTAATCACTCTTTCCATATCAAAATCAGTTAAAATACAACATCCAAAAGTTTATTTCACCTCTCTTCTTTCATTTCCATCCAAAAAAATCTAAGAAATGAGTGAGGAAGGGAAAGAAAAACAATTTAGAAAAAATACACTCTGATTAAAAGGAACTATATTCGAAAAGCGGGATCATTAATTGTGGTCTTTGGCCTGAAAATGTCTGACAACCAAAATATACACGAAAACAACAGTGCAAAAAAGACAGCAAAGGTCAGCAAAAAATCGGAGATGTGTTTAGAATAAAATATACAAATTTCCCAATTTCA